TTTGGGAGGGTTTTTTGGTTTTGCTACCTCCTTCTCCTCCCTATAAGAGGATGGCACTGGATCCATAAATGTTTAAACACTTTCTTATATTACAGAGAATTGCTAGTACCCGTTTTTATAGAGTGGAGGAGAGTGCTTAAAAAATAAGTGTTTATAAAATTACCTGGTTTGGTCCAAGTTTCACAGAAATGTATTTGTATTTTGGAAAGCTGTGCAATGTCATCATCTTCTCCAGCACTTCTGTTAATTGCCGTCATCCAACTTTGCCTGCAGAGTTGGAGACAGTTTCATGTAGTCAAGGTTAGCCCCTGTGGGTAATTATAAGGAAAGGTGGTGTACAAAAGGCAGCCCTCATGTGAGCTAGTCTCATCTTTAATTCAATGTGTTGCCATATGTTGAACTAGATAGAGCTGCTTTAGAGACTTCTGTAGTGTTTCACTATTCGGTACAAGAGTTTCAGCCATGTCAGGAAACATGACTTTTATGATTGAGCCCACTCATAAAAGTGAGCCCATTCTGTGCCCCCCCAGCAGAAAGTACTGGAGAACAGAACTTGGGTTTATCTGGCCTGTGCATGAGGCGAGAGGTATGTGAGGCTGTGGATTCACATAATCAAAAAGTGGATGCTTGCTGAGAGTGGAGAGACTGTACCTTGCTGATAATAGTTTGTGTGTTACTCAGTGTTGAGAATTTGCACAAATGTCAGAGCTATCTCTTTGTGTTTGAAATTATTGACTGTTGAAGCACACTTGGCAATAGATTCAGTATTTTCAGGAATGTTTCACAAATTTTGAGTACAGTTTGTAAGCCCTTTGGTGTGTTGTGCATGCATTATCATATGAGCACTGGACATTTTAATTATCTGGCCGTGTGAGTTGGTGATTTCAGTATTTTTTTAAAAGATTTTTATCCTTTCTTGTTAGACCCAGAGGCCAATACTGCAGAGGTATCAAGTTTGTCTTTCCAGTTCAAGTGCATCAGAACAGTTGTTGTGATGTTCATATCATGACAAACAGTAGATCGCAAAGTAGGCTGTCTGGATTGTACCTGCTCCTCTTTTAGAGAGGAAATTGGGTAGAGATCTCAAAACTGGGTAGCCTGGAGTGCATGTGTGAGTCTGTAAGCACACATCCTTTCTTAAACAGCCTTCTTCCTGTAACAGTCATCTGTTTTGTGCTAGACCAATGCTGTAGGTTGGACAATGTCATTCACAGTCCTGCTGTATTTGTAGGGTGTTTCAGCAACCCCTCCTGTAGCTCCTCCTTCCTGATTTAAAAGAGCTTTCATGCTACATTTTCCACTGGCAGAAAAAGGGAGGAGTTGCTTTTCTCCTTGAAATGCAACAGAGCATTTCTGCTTCTTTTTCCAAGCCATGGCTTTCATATCTCAGATTTAGGAGTCCAGCCTGGAAAGGGGAGGGCTGTGGATGAGGCACCCACTGCTGACGGTCACTTCTGCTTAGCCCCCTCTGTTGCCTTGACTTCAGAGACATGATAAGAGGAGATGGCTAATGAAGACTAGTAGGAGATGAGGAAAAAAGTGATCTAAAATGCATAACCCAATGGGAAATTGTGTTAGAGATGAGGATGAGGGTGGAAATGTACTGCACAGATGCATCGCATTGCCATAGCTAAGCCCTGACAGCAATTGCCTGCCTGGAAGTGTTGACAGTTCTGCTGCATGGAGGTGGCCTGATCCAGCTCTCATATCAAAGTCAAGGCCTAAAATTTGGAAGCTGAAAATATTTTTTGATACAGGCCAGATATGACTTCAAAAAATGGCAGCATGTTAGTCCTTGGCATGAGAAATACTGTGTTAAAATAACACTCTCCATATAATTTTAAATTACATCATTGCTAGCCCTTCCTCTGTTCTCCCCGCTTTGCTTTCCCCTCTTCCTTTCTTCTTCCCAACAACCTAGACGTAGTTTTGATGTTATCTTTTTCTGTCGTGCTGTTTGTGTGGTACAGTGTTTATTTTTCAAAGCCAAAGGAGGATTTAATAACATTCAGCTGATCACAGAACAGCTTTGCTTTAAAAGCTCATTAGCTAGGGCTTGTCTCCTGGTTGTTGCTTTCAGTGACATGCCTGTCACAGTGACAGAAAATCATATATATCCTTGTGTATGTTTATTGTGTCTCACTAACTCTCCTGGTGCAAGGCAGTGCTGATAATGGGCTTGAAGTAAAGCTTTGCATGCACCAGTGAATGCTCATTTTCTAAGGTTTTTTTTGTTGTTGTTGTTTTGTTTTTTTGTAGAAATTAAACAAGTGATCCTCAACTGAGCAGGCTGTCAGTGCCTGGACCTTGGACATCAAAAGTTTGACATAATTGTCAGTCTTGGCCAAAACCAGCAGGAAAGCATAGGTTCCAGGCACACCATGAGCTCCTATTAGTTTTGTGAAAATTGTTATCTGGAAAGAGGATGGAGTGCCCCTATGGAGGAGAATTTGATTTATCTTATGAGATGCTGCATGAGGACAGGCTAGCTGGCAGGTGAGAGTGTGCTTGGCTCGAGGGCCCTACCTTGTCCCTGCTGAATATCCCCATTGGATATCGATGGGAGGGACTGTGGGTCTCATAGAAGGGAGATGCAAGCTGAAGCTCTAGTGGCTGTGGTGGGGATGATGGCTGTTGTGTGTTTTGCTGATTACAAAACATCTCTTTCTTACAAAATATGCTTGTGGAATAAAGTTATGAACAGTGTTCAGATCTCCAGAAATTCATCCAGGCCCACTTCAGAATGAGATTGGGTTGAAATTTATGGAGTTAAAAATAGTAGAAATTGGGCTCTTTCAAGTTGCTTTTTAATTCCCTTCTTCTGATACCTCAAGTTATATTATTTAAGCTTACTGTGCAAGCACAAAGTGTAGGAACTTACTGAAATTTCTAATCTAATTAGGGATCTTTCGGAGCTAGGATTTTTAGCAGAACACCAAAGATGGAAAAACTTGTGATAAAACCATAGGAGAGCTGGCAGTGTTCATCAAGAAAATAAAAATAACAGGATGGAAATGAGCGTGCTGTGTGCATGTAGCTGCAGAGGCAGGTAGGGCTCTCTTCTCTGGTGGCCACACAGGATGGATTCTGCCAGCAGCTTCCCCATTCCTCAGCTTCACATCTCCTCCCAGCCCTTCTCCCACCACTTTGTCTTTCCTCTTCTTGCTCCTGCTGCCTTAGCAGTTATAGAATCATAAAATGGTTTTTGTTGGGAAAGACCTTTAAGATCATCGAGTCCGACCATCGATCCAGCCCTATTAAGTCTGCCACTAGACCATATCTCTAAGCACAGCATCTACTTGTCTTTTAAACACCTCCAGGGATGGTGACTCCACCACTGTTCCAGTGCTTGACAACCCTTTCAGTAAAGAAACTTGTGCTAATAGCCAACCTAAACCTCCCCTGGTGCAACTTTAGGCCATTTCCCCTTGTCCTGTCACTCACTACCAGGGAGAAGAGACCAACCTCCACCTCACTACAGCCTCCTTTCAGGTAGCTGTAGAGAGCGATATGGTCTCCCCTCAGTCTTCTTTTCTCCAGACAAAACAACCCCAGTCGCTCCTCTCATAAGGCTTGTGCTCTAAACCCTTCACCAGCTTTGTGGCCCTTCTCTGGGCACACTCTGGCACCTCAATGTCACTTTTTGTCCTCGCAGTGTCCCTTAGTGGGGGGCCCAAAGCTGAACACATTAACTTGTGACCTGCAGTTAATCTGCCGACCTCTGTTTTGTGAGGATTGAGGGATTAGAGTAAGAGGGAGTCCACTGGAGGTACCTGTGATGCTGTAGGCTCTGGTGAAAAATTCCCAACTGAATGCTAGAGAGCTGATGAAGCGGCAGGCACGTGTGGTGTGGCTGTCAGGTATGAACCTGGCCTCTGCAGTACACCATGCTCACAGCACACAGCAGAAGAGAGTTATTGCCTCTGCGTGATTGAGTGATACTGTTTCACCATCTTTGTCTTTGGCATAGCAAAGTCATGTTTAAGTTTGCTCACATTACCTTAGGGTACCTGAGAGCCTGAGGCACAAGTCCTACTAACCTTATTATAGCAAAAATTTCTTCTACTAGGCAGTCTTCATCTGAAGTTCTCAGTGTTGGAAGGAGTATAAAACTGCAATGGGTGATGTTCTAGAATTGAAACAAAGAGAAACAAAAGCTTCAGATAACAGTAAATAGATTGTATGTTCTTGCTTGATAAAACTTCCACAGATCTTTAATGACCCCTATGCTGCTCAGCAGTCACTCATGCATCAGCATCCTTCCCCCATTTGTCTTGCAGCATCACAAAATGTATTAAGTTGAGCTTGAAAAAAAGCATACTTACTCTGTTTTTGAGGACTAGTTATTCAAATGTAAATAGAGACCATACATTAATCCAAACTGATACTCAAAGGTACTCAAGTTCTCAGTCTATTTCAGTGTGATTTTATCATTATTTTTTCTAGGTGTAGGTATCCCAACATATTAATTCTTGATAATATAAATGTTTTAGTAGCATTTAATCTGTATTATAAATAATAGTTTTGTGTGGTTTTTTTTTTTTTTAATTAAAATGTCTTTTTGCTCTATTTAGGTCTAAACATGGTAAAGCCTGCATTATGTGCTGTACTCAAGTATTCTTTAGATAGAAGTATTTCCTCATCTGGATAAAAACAAAATAAAGCTCAACTTGCTACAGAAGGTCTGGCCTCACGACCTTGATTTTTGCAAGACTCAGAGTGTCCTGACCTGTGCTATATACTTAAAAAAACCTAGAGTTTAGGACCTTGTGAGGAACAGCTTTAGTTCAGTAGGAAAAAAAATGTCTGCTAGTGGTCCGAGTTTCCTTACTTTCATTCTTAATGATGCCCTTTACAGCGTTCAGTAGAGTTATGGGTGTAAGAATGCAGCCTTTTTGGTGTCAGTGATATGTTATTTCTGCCTACACGCACTGGGTCCCGTGGGAGGTGTCAGCATTTTTATAACGGCTCTAAGACAACGGTTCCTTTTCTTCCTTTAGGCTCATAGCTGGCAGCCTGGAATCAAGAACCCATACCGCGGGGTTGTGGTGTGGCCTGTTCCTGAAAACGTTGAAATTACCGTGACGCTTTTTAAGGTATGGTTTTTAAAGTATAATCTTTCCTTTTTCATAAGCAGCATATGAAAAATTATGTTTGGAAAAGTCAGATTGTAATCACAAGGCCTAATCTCTCTGGGTTTAAGTTGTTACATGTGCAATCTTATGTCCCAGCTTAAATCCGAGAGGGAAGGATGGTCTGTTCCCGCCAAAGCTTGCTTTTGGAGTTTAGTTAACACACTGAAATATCCCATTGAGCTGATTATGGCGAGTCATTGGCATAGAATTTAGTACATGTGTAACTGCGCATGTAGTACATGCGTAAGGGCTTGGCACAGATTACAGTCTGGTTGGTTTTCTTTAAATACTGTAAGCCAGAAGTTGTCAAAACACAGCCATTTCTAGACTTCCTTGTTCAGTTGCAGTGCAGTGACCCTGTTTCTTATGCTATTAACTATAAGCCAGAATTCAGCTTTGAATTTCACAGCATTTAGTATGTCACACAAACATCACAGTACTTATGTGACTGCAGTCGTAGGAGTGGATGTGGAGTATTTGAGTAGTACAGAGAATGATAAGATTTTATGGGGGATTTTCTTTTAGGAACTGCATTTGTTCTATTAAAAAAGAAGCCTATTTTGTGTGGCTGTAAAGCAGGAAGAAAAATTGATGTTTATGCTGAACTTCCCAGATATCATTGGGCTTTCTGCATGAAGATAAACAATGCAGCTTTGCGTGTGTGATAGTGTAGGAGGCTGCCCAGGAGGCTGAAGATTTCTGGGATTTTCGTTCAATTTTTTCTTCTTTACTCTGGTGTCTCCAGCTACATTCTGGTTGTTCTTATTTATAATTGCTCCCTTTACAGCTTAGGGCAACAGTAACATACTTTTTTCTAATTAGTAATATTTATATTTCTTTGTCTTGGGGACTTACCTGAATAACTGCTTAGAAGTGTCTTCTGGTTAGCCTTAGAATGTGAATTTATTACTTGGTTCATTAAGCCTAAAAGGGAGGTTTCTCTTCATTATTTTTTTTATTTTTTTTCCCTTTTTTTCCTTGGGATCACCTATGAACAGAAACTTCCCAGGTTGCCAGTGATGCAAACTATCATAAATTTGTCTCCCTTCTTAGCAAACACATGGTCTTCAGCTGAGGTTCAAAAGTTTGCTAGCAAAAATTGTTTGCCTTTGCCTGCTTCAAGGGCCTCTACTTGGATTAAGGAGTTTAACACCATTGTGTGACTACGCTGCGTGTCTGTATAATATGAATATGGTTATGTAATGCATTAGATGTTACTTAATAAAGTGAAGCAGAAATGTACACAATTCTTGATTGTGTATTCAATAACATGTTACATGAAGAATGAGAAACTAAGTTTCTTTTGGGTGCAGCTCTGTGATGCTGTGGCTTTGGAGTAAGTTGTCTCCCAGCTTGTCTCTCATCCCACGCTACCTTTTTATTCCTACCTAGAGTACTTTGGGGCTGTGTTTTGTAGTACGGCTCAACAAACTTGTAATTGTGCCACTGAAAGTGAGAGCGAGGCCTAGAACCAGATAGTGAGGGGAGAGAAGGCCCTCTGGAGATGGTGTTAGATATTACTACAGCCTTAATTTTACCCAGCACTTGGACTCTGAAGGCAGGTCTGTTCACTGGACTGCCTCCTCCTCTCCTGAAAAAATGAGCCTGCCCGCTGCAGAGAGGAATGAGTGTGAATAATGCCAGCGGCTGTGCCTTCTGGGAACAGTACACAGTGATGTCTGGGGGAACAAGCCCAGGCTTTTATAATCAAAATATGGAGATCAAGCAAAAAGCATCATATGGTTAGGCAGCTTTTATGTAAATCTGCTCTAATTAATCCTCCAACAAGAGTGCCTGTAAGTGGCCAAACCCACTTTTTTCTCAGTAAGGATATGCAGGTGTGGTACAGAGCAGTGGTTTTTGAGGAAGCTGGGTAATGCACTAGAAGCACTGCATTTGTGTGGGACCAGCAGCCTGCCTGGATGAATGAGCTGAAAGTGATATGTGATTGCAGGCAGAATATGGTGTTTGCACAGTTTATGCTGTGCTCAGTCCTCTGGTGGCTCTTTTGGTGCAGTGCAACAGTGGCACTTCAGCTGCAGTGTGGGATATGTCCTAACACCCGGAGAGCTGGCATTTCTCTAGCTGGTACGTTCTGGGCAAAGACAGGCAAAAACAACTAGCCACTTTTTGTAAAGCTGATGCATTGGCTGGTCAGCACTAGAGCAGCGGGAAGGGAAGTATGTAATAGCACACTGCAGCAGCCTTTCTGGGAGCTGACTTGCAAGTCAGGGATTTATATTGTTCCTTCCTCTGGAAGGAGGGAGGTGAAAACACTGAAAGCAGTACAGCTCAGAAAAAGAGACTGCTCATCTTGCACTTCTGTGAAAATCCCTTTAGGATCTACTCCCCTGTGAAGGAGGGTGTCTGCTGGACTGTGTGGCACTTTGAAGTAAGTACACTTAGCATGGCTGTATTTAACAAACAGTGGTTGTCCTCTTTCATCACAACCCAAGAAGCTGAGGGAAGCTGCTGGCTCCACATCCACACTGTCAGAGCCCACTGATGGGAGCAGGTCGCTCCAACAGTGCTTTGCAACAATCACAGATAACAAATTAATGCAGTGGTGCTCTTTGAAGTACAAGTGCAGGAAAGGAAAAGAGTGGCTTCAGAATAGACAGCTACGTGTTTTGAGAAATGATTCACACAGTAGTGGCTGTGCATTCATAAGTGGCTGTTGAAAGGCCTTGCTGGTAGGATTAGGAGGTAAGCTGAGGTTTCAAGTGCTGATGAGAATGTCAAGCATATCCTCTCCAGTAGTCACCCATGGACACTTGAGAGGTGGCTAGCGAAGTGTCTGTGATCACTCAACAGATGAGATATTTTGCATTAGCTGCACATCCCTATTTTGGAGGTTAGCTTGTTTCCGACAATGTATCTGTAATTCTTAGGTAAGCAGAGCTAAGTATTGAAGTATAACCTTCATTCATAAAACTTACAGTACAAATAAATAAAAACTTTGTTTAATTTCTCATAAATCTGGGCTGTTGGTAAAGTTTCATGATGCTCTGACGTCACATAAGGAAAACCATCAAATGGGTGTATTGACCCAGCCTCCCTTGACTAGCGCTAGCTGAAGTGCTGATTACATATAAAGTTCCATCTGAAAGTTTAACTTCTTCCTTTGCCGTTCTCTACACTGATGTTTGGTTATGCCCTGGGTTTCTCAACCATAATAGGGAGGAAGAAACATTGCAATACAATAAGCCTATTGTGCATTTTAAATCCATGACGCAAATGAAGAAGGCAAATGGCATCCTGGGGTGTATCAGGAGGGGGGTGGTTAGTAGGTCGAGAGAGGTTCTCCTCCCCCTCTACTCTGCCCTGGTGAGACCGCATCTGGAATATTGCGTCCAGTTCTGGGCCCCTCAGTTCAAGAAGGACAGGGAACTGCTGGAGAGAGTCCAGCGTAGGGCTACAAAGATGATTAAGGGAGTGGAGCATCTCCCTTATGTGGAAAGGCTGAGGTAGCTGGGTCTCTTTAGTTTGCAGAAGAGGAGACTGAGGGGAGACCTCATTGATGTTTATAAATATATAAAGGGTGAGTGTCACGAGGATGGAGCCAGGCTCTTCTCGGTGACAAACAATGATAAGACAAGGGGTAATGGGCACAAGCTGGAACACAGGAGGTTCCACTGAAATTTGAGAAGAAACTTCTTCTCAGTGAGGGTGACAGAGCACTGGAACAGGCTGCCCAGAGAGGTTGTGGAGTCTCCTTCTCTGGAGACACTCAAAACCCGCCTGGACGCCTTCCTGTGTAACCTCATCTAGGTGTTCCTGCTCTGGCAGGGGGATTGGACTGGATGATCTTTTGAGGTCCCTTCCAATCCCTAACGTTCTGTGATTCTGTGATTGCGCTTTCATGGAAAGATCCACAAATGCCAGAAAAGATAGCTGAATTCCCATTTTTCATTGTTTCCATGGTTGCACTCCAGAAGTTCACTTTTAGAGTCCCTGCATTAGCAAGGTTTAACCATCATATTGAAAGCTTATATAATTTTCTGTAGTTTTATGTACAAACACATACCTGTGTCAACTAAGAGAGATTTTAAATGAAAAATATTCACTGCCAAGCAAGCCCAGTGCTAAGTGAATATCAGTTGTACTGTGGGGACTTAAATTGCAAGGTCATTATTCTCTGGCTTAAAAGCAAAGTGAAATTCCCAAGCAAAAATGTTTGTTCTTCTGGACTAAGCATGAACTTTGGTTCATTGGATTACAAAAACCACTTGTTTTGTCAGTAATATATTTGGTTTATCACACTGATGTACTGTTGCAACAACAGGAAAGATTACCAGCTCTTCATTCCAAAGTTTGAAGAAGACATTTTTAAAGTCATAACTTTCAAGCACACAAAGTTATTAGTAAAACAAAAATAAAATAGATTATAAAAGGAGACTTATATTGTTGAAAATATTCCCATCCCCACATATCTCTTGGAATATATCCCATATAATCTTTCTTGAAAGCCCAAGTCAATCGTATGCTTTGATTATAGTGCAGTAGCTGGCCTTGCACCAGCAGGAACACTACAGCAGAGCCAAGCATTGTGCCAGGGAAGGGGAAAAAAACCCCTCAAACCAAAATCCTTTGCTAAAGCCATTTCCCAGAAGCAAAGAGTAAATCCAGTTTCAAAACTTATTTGTTTCAGTTTAGGAGAGACCAGTGGCTTGACTGGACACTATGGAAAGTATTCCATAGGAGGAAAAACCAGCCCTGCAGCCAAGGCAAGATGTTGTGTGTCATATATAAAATATGCGCAGGGAAGTGAGAACATTAGCATGCTAAAAAATAAAATATCCAGGATTAGTATGGGGACTAACTGTAAAAAATATTTTACAAAAAAAAAAGTCAATCATTGTTGCCTTTCTAGCTCAAAGGCTTTACATCAAAGTATGAAATGTCATAAGCTTGGGGTGGTGATGTATAGGGACAGTTCTGCCAGTCTGCTCAGAGCTCCCTGCTTTTGCTGACCAGATTTCTATGTGGCTTTCTAGACTAATCAGACTTCTGTAAGCAGCATTGAAAGCAACAAGAATTGGGTCAAATTTTGAGTCTTCTGCAGCTTCAGACAGCCAAGTAGAAAAGCTGAGGACAGATGCTGGAGTACCCAGAGCATCTGCTATAGGTCAGTGGTAGAAGATCACAAACCCTGTCATTGTTTGATCTGATTCAATGTGACAGTCCTTAAGTAGTTATTCCCCAAGAAGAAAGACTAAAGATTAAGGCTGGTATGAAGTAATCTAATTGAAAGACAAGCTTCAAAAGCCAGGAAAGCTTAGGGAGGAGGCACGGGGAAGGAAGGGACTAACAGTCTGAAGATCTTCCCCATCCGCTCTGGCTGCTGATCAGTAGGAGCAGTGCCTTGTTTGCTGACATCTTTCACTCCTTTTAGGAGAGATGCAGAAATAACTCTAAAGATAACTCAACTTACTGGAGAAAGGGTCCATAGAAAGGAGCCTTAACAAAGCTCCCTGAGGAGAGGGATGATGATGGATGGATCAACAAAGAACAGAAATACGTGACAGACACGTTCCTTGTTGCACTTCCTTTGCCCGAGTCCAGCAGAGTTGTCTGATTTTGGGTAGTTGGTTTATGAATGAGAAGAGAGATGAAGAAATTATTATCTGAGGGTCTCACTGTAGGAGAACCATAAGATGATGTCCTGTTGTTTGCACAATTCCCTGCTGTTGGCTTCTCACCTAAGCATTACTTCTGAACACTAAAGTAATCTTACCAGAAAAAAAAATGGGTAGGGAAAAAAAGAAGACTCTAAAGCTTAGTTGAAGATACTGAAAAGGAGTCTCATGCTGAGAAATAAATGCATATGGAAAGAGAAACAGGAAATTGGGGCCTATCTCTTGATATTATGAAGCTTCTTTTTTACACAATAAAATAAGAAGGAACAACAAGCCATTCCATCAATTTGCCCAGATACTCAAGAGTTTTCAATTCAAGGTAAAACCATACTAAATGTTGGATAGACTGTAGTTCTGCATCTGTGGTATGTTGGTAAAGAAAATGAGCATTATCAAAACAACGGCTCTTGCTAACTCCTTGTGTTACAGTGAGGTATGAAGCAGTTTCAGGCTGAGAAAAATACTGAAGTCATTTTGTTCCTTGAGCTTTTAAGGTAATTTTCATTATCATTTGCTTTCAGGAAGGAGGATGGGAAAGAGGTCTAACTCTTATCTTTAGGTGTTTCCAGCTGTGCATTTTCAGTGATTATTTGTATCTGCCTGCAGGTGACATGAGGTTTTGTGTGCTGTGTTTTCAGGGAGGGCTTTCATACAGTGAAAATTTCAAAGGCTGCCATAACTGTTACTCCTAGGGTTATTCATCTTTGCAATGTTATTTTTTTTTCCTAAAGAGTAGTCAGCTGTATGGTCATTAAGTAATAGTTTGCTAAATTAATTGCGTGAGTTTTATGTGGGAAATTAATGAAGAATATGAGTTAGCCAGTGAGGGAAGCATATGTTATGTTTTCTTACTGGTATTTACCCTCTTCAAATCCAAAATAAGCTGCAAGATTAGCCAGATTTATAGAAACATCACTTTTTATGGAGAGCACATAGAAATATTAGCCCAAAGGGTGAAATGGTGGTTACAAGAGAAACTGTGCTGTAACTATGATCATCCAAGTATCTATTAATACTGACCATGTAATAAAGTTGGAAGTTAGCTAGAAACAGGACTATACGGGCTGCTCCCTGGGCTTCTAATAAACAGGTTTTAGTGAGAAAAGTGAAGCCGCTTATGTGTCTGTTGCAAGGAAAAGCTGAGACTTATGTGTATAAACTTACCTGGGGTTTTCTGTCCTTAGAGACATTTTTAAACTAACAAGAAATGGGACTTTAAAAAAATTATTATCTGGATTTCTTTTTAAATCTGAAAAATCTTACACATATATGAAGTGTCCATATCTTAGCATATTTCATACTCTCCAAACTTTTGGTAAGGCTGTTCATTAGAGAAATTCTTGACGCTTTTAATTTTTCATTCTGGGTAGTTGGTGGGGAGTTTGGGGGTAATACACTCATGTTTATTGTTCAAAGGTGTTCATAACTTGCTTTGAAGTGCATGCTAAAATGTTGACTATTACCAAGTCATTTCATTATACAGTGTTATTTTGCTCTATCAAATTATCAGAAATGCTCAGCAGAGCTTTATTGCTATTGATAGAGGAGCTTTGTTTTTCTTTATAAACTATAGCCTTGCATGAACAAAATAATGTTTGTTTTGTTTGTTACATGGGATAAAATGCAGGGCCCTTACCTTGCAAGCAGTTTTACAGAGTCTTGCAAGCTTACATTAATAGCTTTTGGGAGAGATATGAAAAAAAATTGAGCAGGATGAAATATTTAAGAGTTTAATCACTTATTATGGAGTAGCTTATTAAAACATAAAGTGATTAATGATCCCATTAAATCTCATTATGTCATTTTATGCTGTATCAAAGGAAGCAATTAAACAAAAAGGTAATTATCCCAAGTTAACTCTTGAAAATGATAAGTATTTAATAGCTGGATTACAGAAAATTATATCTTTAGAATTTATATAGGATACAGCAAACTGGCAGTTATTGTGTACTTTATTTACATAATGCAGAATTCCACAAACCTGATTAATGTGATGGATATATAATTACATAATCTGATATTTGCAAGTACATTAATTGGAACACGGAGATACCTGAGTAGAATGTTGTATGTATCTACTTGCCCTTCTGGGTAACAGTGCAATATGTGTTTACCCTCTTTGCAGTATTTAAATTACTCTGAGTTTAAAAAAATAATAATCAAAAAAATAATTATTTGTATATCAAAATTAATCATCAGTTTTGACATAAGTTTCTAGTAACATCTTATATTTTTTCATTGAAACTACAGCCCATTGTTGGAGTAGTGCATATTAAAGTGCATATTGTATATGACACCTGTGGTTGTAGCTGTTAAATATATAGCTAGTGATGAAGACGAATGCTGATCATGGGGAAGTGACGTCTATATGCAAGTGTCTACAGCATGCAAGTGTCAGGCACAAAGTAGTAATTGGGTGGTTTCCTATAACTAGAAATGATAGGACAAAATTGAGGCTTCATGTCAGAAGAAAGCCTAAAGCCACATTCTCTTAGTATGAGATGTCTTGCAGAAGGAGTAGAAGTTATTTTGTTACAGTTGTTCAGAACTAGGATTGGATGATAAATTAATGATTTTATTTTTTTTTAAGTAGGGTCCTTGATAAAGGCATGAAGGGGATGAATTAATGTCTCCACCATCATCTTAAAGTCAGACAACAGTAGACTGAAAGCTCATTAAATTGGAAACAAACTTCATTGTTGTTTATCTTCCTGTTGGTGAAAATGTTTTCTGAACCTCACATGTGATGCAATAGAAATGTTGTGAAGTAAGGATAGGTATTCAAGAAATTTTCAGTGAGATGAGGCCCTGTGCTGAAGGCCCTGTGCTGTGTGACTCTGGATCTCTGATCATGCTGATGGAGCCTGGGTGTTAGGAGGTTGGGATGATGCCTGCTGTAGGTGTATGTCTTCTACTGCCAGGTGGGAGCAGTGGCTTCCTCCACTGTTCTCTGCGGGGGGTAGATTTGTTACGCTTATTTGGCAGGTGGAACTTATGAATTAAAGAGAGATTTATCTTCTTTATTTTTCTATGTGAAAGGAATTAGAATCAGACCTTTATTAGAATCAACCTCATGTTTATATCTGTAGGAATCTATTAAATGCTCACTAGCAGTTTTATCCTAAGTTGCTCTTCATCTTATTGACATCCATTGAAGCCTACATCCTAACTAAAATATTTCCCTCTGTCATCTTCAGTGTGTAAAAATATTTCTATGAGTATATGAAAATCTTGGCAGAGTTACAATTTCTTGCACCATGGATTATTTTTAGACTTAAGTTCTCTGATTTGTTTTTGTAGGATCCCCACGCTGAAGAGTTTGAAGACAAAGAATGGACGTTTGTCATAGAGAATGTAAGCTGGAATGTTATGTTTTTCTTATACATGTAAGACTTAATCATTTAAAAGACTGAAGGGTATCCAAATGCTGAATAAGACTTGAGTAGAATTTGAGCAACAGTAAAGCCTTGCTCTGTAGTAATGATCACTTATTAAAATACTTGTTATGTTACAATTAAAATACAGGAGAGGGGAGTACTATACTACACTGCTTAAATTCCTTCCCTGTAAGCATCAGTCTTCCTTGCATTATTTTGCTATGAGCAATGGAGTAAACAAGTCAGAGCTGGGTTATGACTCATTGTTGTATGGGTTATGACACATTATTTTTCTATGAGCAGGGGAGTGAACAAGTCAGAGCTGGGTTATGACATCTGTACATCCCAACAGCAGTGCGGCCTTACTGGTTTCAAATGCCGCTCTTTAGTGAAGAGCACAGCTTTGTAGGTGAGGAAATTGAGGCAGGGTGGAGAGGTGGGACCAGCCATGGTCACCTAAGTGAAGAGCAAGAGCCATGACGTGCCCCCTGGGATCCCAGTCTCACTCTCCGTGTGGGAGAGCTGTCTTGTGCACCCAGTGAAAAACCAAAAGGCAGCTCCTGTGAATCTCTGTCTCGGAGGAGCCAGGAGCTCCTAGAACTTCCCAGAGCTGAGCTCCTGAGGGCTGTACAAACAACAGGCTTTCCCAAACAGCAGGGCTTAACATTGCATAGAGCAAGTGCTTTGTAAAGTACTTATTTCCTTTCTTTTCTCTGTGTTGGGCTGCAGCTTCTGCTCTGAGACTGCCTGAGCTCAAAATTGGGGTGCCACTCTACCTGGAGTTTCCCTGAGTAGGAAATTTTTTAAAAATATGTTTAAAAGGACTATGGCATCAAGATAGCGTCTTTATTTCTCATTACTATAGTTTCATTCTGGACTGCTTCTCAAGAACATGATTTAATTTTTATTTATGTTGCTTTTAAATAGTAACAACAATATTGCTCATCTACTGGGTCATAGTACTGCCACAGAGCACTGAAGTATGGGAAAGCAATGAAATTTGCATGTTGCCCTTTTTTGCTTAGCTGCTTTTGCTTGTTATCAGACGTGATTTGGCTGTCCAAAGCTAAGGTTTATTCTGATTGCCAGTGTCTGAACATTTAAAAGGGCTGAAAGCAAAGGGCTTAATTTCTACTTTTGTTTTTAAATGTCAAGTTTCTCTTCTTGTTTATGAGGCTTATGAACACAAAACACAGTTTAGTTACTGTTTCCTGAAGTTTTCTTTTCTTTCTCATTTAGTTTATTTTAATCAGGGAAGTCTCCATCACCAATTGTCACTGTGCAAGTTACTCAGGATAAAACAATGTCAGTGTATTTCTCAGCCAGCCCCTTTGGGCATAGTTGGGTTTCCTGTGACGCTGCAGCAGATTTTTTTCAGAAGTTTATAGTGGGTGTGTAAAAACTTCATGTCCTGCTTTATAACACATTGTTTTTTTCCACATGTCATCGTATGATATATAGAGGTGGCCGTAGTACAGCTGCTGCATGCTGTTCTTCCTCTGTCTCAAATCTTCTCTGAGCTGCAGTAATGCTTGCAGCATGGGAGGTTGCTTCAGTTGCTATGCCCCAAAACAGATGGAAATGGTTCCAGCATATATTGGAGATGGAGCAATCTTTTGTTACGTGCAAACTTATTCTTTGCGACCTTAGTTATGCCATTAGTTAATCCCACGAGAATTGGTATGTAGATAATTATCCTTCACTTAGAGAATATGTAAATATTATCCTCAGAATAATAAATTTTATAAATAGTTTTATTGCAACAATTAGAGAGCTAAAAGCTTTTTTTTTTTTTTGGATGAAACACTACTGAAAACTGCAGATACTGCCAAAAAATATGGTCTGTGAGTATGCTTGAAAATATTGAGAAACTCTTTTCCAAGAGTAATAGCTCCACTTAGTGGCGGATGATAATATGTTCATCTGTTCGAGCAAAACACAGATGATCCCAATGGCTGGCTGACACTTCAGAGCACAAAACACCTGCTTCATCAAAATCTGGGAGCTGGCGAGACAGAAGGTTGATCTCCTCTCCTTAAATTGTTGACATTTACCCTTTCAGGTTTAACATGTGGTCTTCCTGCTTTTAAAGGAACGTGTTTGTGCTTGAACTTGACACATATGTCACAAGTGCAGCGACATTTACAGTCCTGTGCGGGATTTTCCTTTTTGTCCAAGTATGTTCTCTGCCCTCAGGGGCTGCGAGGGTTCCTTTTCTCCTTGGTTTGCAGCACTCAGAACGCAAAATACTGAAGCATGAAAAGTTAATGGACATTCTTTCATTACAAAGCATTCTGAATTCTGCTTAAAACATTTCTTTTAAGCTTTTTACAATTATTATTAAAAATAAGTCTCAAATAATTTTGTAATGCTTCTGTATGGCTGAGCAAGGACCAGCTAACAAAGATGCTCTGCTGAAGGTTGAGGCCTCTGTTGGCAGATGATACCAAACTCCAAACAAGATTATTCAGGACTTTCAGGTGAAATTCTAAGTAGCGGTGGGGTGACTTGTGCAAGATGACCATACTGTAAATGAAAATTAAGCAAGATATTTGTTTCTTGGGAGTATATTTGTTGGTTTGTTTGTTTGCGGTTTGTGTGTGTGTGTGCTTGGCTTTTTTGTTTTTTTGGGGGTGGGTTTTTTTTTTCTTAATTCTGCAAATACATGTACTTTGTGATACATCAAATTGCAAGATTTTTTTGAACCGTACTTTTAATGTTTTAGTCACTCTGTATTTGCATTCTAGTAAATGGTTTCTTAATAATTAAATGTCAGTACTAATTCTTTCAGCCTCTTCTATGTATATCTCATTCATAGCTGTGTTCTTTGCATATTTACTGCTAACTTTCTTATTTCTAATTTCACCTTTATTTAATCAGACTCTATGTATTTGGTTTTCTGTCTTTTCTTCATGAGGCAGTTCTTTGAATTGTCTTGTTTTTGTTGTTCTGAATAATCATATCAGATCTTCAGATTGACTGTTGCAAGCTGGAGAGCAAGAAATTCATAGCTAAGAATAAGACTTACCCATCTGTGGAGAGGTAATAGGCTTTCAAACCCTTATGGATTTGCATTAGTTAGTCTTGCCTATTCAGTTCAGAGAACAAGGACTAGTCACCTTCCATTTGAAAATATGAGCCACTTCCTCTAGTAAGTTATTTTTCTCTCACATTAATCTGGAGGATAATTTGATCATGTACTCTTTCCACACTTGGTTCCTTTCCCTGCCTGAGCTCTAATTTCCAGTGTTAATTTTTTCAGCATTAACTTCCCATTTCTCTCATTAATTGCTTTCCTGGAGTTTCTGGTGTACCAGTGCTCAAGAAAGAGCTTCCACGTGGCAACAGAGACTGTAGATACCAGGGAAAACTCTCACAAACAGCATCAATATCTGCAGGTCAACCTTTCCATGGGATTTCCATGCTCTCCCATTTAAGTAAAAGAACAGTGCATGTTTCTAAATACATCTTTGTATTTTAGTGGTAAAATTCTTTGAAGTTAATTGACCCGTGCTGAGGCACATAAGAACATCCATTGAGGACAGACGATCACATTTGCCTGTTTGCTGATGGCTTTCTAAACAACTACCTCCTATATTCTTTAATGAAGTTGAAAAATACATGGAATGTTTTCAGAGGGTAAAGATTTGGTCTATGAAACAACTTTTGCTGCTTTTTGTAGAATTTTTCTCTGCTCAGGTTTGTATCTGTGATAGCTAATAAATGGTGTACTAGTATATTCCACGGTTCATTGTAGGCTTCTCCATCTTCCCTCCTATGCCTTATGTTTCACCTTTGTATATAGCTTATTCAGAGGGCCCAGGGTTGTGGTGTGTGAGCCCTTTCAAGTAGCATGGATGTAATCGAGCCATTGGCAATCATGGCTGTATCCCTGATACTAACCATATTCCTCTTTATGTTGTGGGCCTATTAGAACTTGGTCTTTGCTGACTACAGAAGAAGACATCCCAGACCTCCTATATTTGGCAGGGTAATAGAGAAGAATGCCCCACCTGTTCTTGAAGCTTTGCTCCTGGATTCATCTAGGCTGTCCTTTGGCCTAAAGGCACCATCATTCCAGGCAAACACTTGCCTAAACTATTTTTAAAAACTTTTTAAGATGGGGTCCCTGCAGTGTCTCCAGACAGTCTGTTCCAATGCTCCATTGGCCTTGCTGTTGGGAATTGTCCTGGCCTATATCTCTGTGGGTACCGTTGAAGGCTGCTTTTTCTTGTCTTACTAATTACAGCTATGGGGAACAGATTCTTCTTTCTGTGACGCTGGAGGCTCCCTCCTTTCTTCTCACTTCTGACTAATCAACCACAATAATGTGATAGTGGTTACACATGGGATTTCATTTCCCTTGATTGCATTAGCAGATCATTAGCACTCTCTTTCTAAGGATTCATTTATGAGTGAGTGTTTCAGCATCCTGCTCTGCTCCTGCTGCCCATTGCTTTCAGGGGCCAGCAGTGCCCAGCTCTCCCTTCACATCATCACCTGCCTGGTGAAGCATTGCCCTGAATTTCCAGGCAGTTCTTGTATTGAGATCTTGGAAACTGAACTTGCTTCTGTGTCTCTCCTTTCTAGAGAGTCTTCCAAAATGTTTTGATGTCTCTTTTTAGACCACTGTTTTCTAATAGTGCCTTTTTGAATATTAAGGTAATGAATGGTGAAGAAAACCATGCCAACCTTTCAAGTTTGACAGTGATTTATATAAGATGTCAAATGTACATCCTTCTGTGAGACACATCGATGCTTCCAGTCATTTCTTTATACCTTAACCAATACAGGTATTCTAAGTGGCTTCTCCAGGAAAATATGTCCAATGAAAGCTACTGAACTGAGAAAAAAGGATTTCAGAGTTTGCTGTTGGAGCTAGTCTACAGCAAACATTTATAAAGAATAACATGTTTAAGCTGAAAAACGAGACCTATCTTTTCCTTTTATCTATTGCTCTTGCATAGCTTCAGGAAT